TGAGTCCAGTTATGAACTGGAGGAAAAAAAACAGTTTACCTTTAATTTTTGTAAAAATCAATAGCAAGACATAGAAGACAAGCAGTAGAAGAGCACGTTACAGTGAGCAAGAGGGTTTAGCCAAATATAATTGCAGAAAAATTAGCATTAACATTCACCAAGGTGTTTCTGGCATTTTGCCTTTTTCATTATGTGCTTCTCAGAGGAAGCTTAGGCAAACTATAAACAAAACAAGCATGGAACCAATAGAAACATTTTTTTATTAAAAATTCCACAGAACAATTTAGTGTTTTGCTTTAGTTTAAATCAGGACAGCATCTCGTGACTTTTATCTACTTAAACTGATCTCAGCCTCAATCCTTTTGTCCTTGCTACCCTTGCCGAATTAAACACATCAGCAGGTGCTGTAACCATTTAAGGCAATGTACCAAGATCTTTCCCAAGATGATAGCTTAAGAACTTGTTTTCACAAGAATCTTCATAGAGGCTCATGCCTACTAACCACAAAATGGGAGCAGAGAAGAAAGGAAGAGAGGAGATTGAAAGAAAGTACTGAAAGACAGCAGAAATTTAATAGGAAAACAATTAAACCTCTCAAATAGGCCCAAAACAGCTGTATTACATGTAATAATATTCCCACTAAAAAGAATTATTTAAATATGTAGAGAATAATCAACAATTTTCCTGTATAACAGCGAAAGTTACATAACCTATTTAAATATGTAGAGAATAATCAACAATTTTCCTGTATAACAGCGAAAGTCTACATAACCTTTCATAGCTACAGATGCTCTAAGAAAATACTGCCCATAGATTTCACAAAAAAAAAAAAAAAAAAAAAAAAAAAATCACATTTCTGGCCCTTACAGGCCAGCTGCTACAGCTTACAGCTTCACACTGACAAAGTTGAAGGGCAATTGTTCTCTCCATTTCTGAAGTCTGCAAACGTTTGTCTGCACATGAAAGAAATAAAGTGACAGCCTCCTTCTGGACAGACATACCTTTGCATGAACAAATATCTTTTTCTTTAAGCATTGCACTCTCTAAAATTACTTGCATGTGACAACGCTGGGCAGAGATCTCTTTAGAAACCTTATCACAAGGACACATACTCAGTGGTGAATTTTGACAGTGATTCTTTAGAAAGAGCTGCTGAAAGCTTGACAGGTAAGCTGCAGACAATTAAAATTTTTGAGTTCAAATTCATATTTCAGTTCGCACTGAAACCGAAATAAGGTCTCCTGCCTACACTCAGCATAGCTGAAAAATAAACTTAAACATTTCAGATTTTCATCATTCCAGATAACTGGAGACAGCACACGTTTCACAGACCCACTTATAGCTGTAAAAAAATAAACTTGCAATACAAACCACTTGTATTCTATCTGTATTAACGGGTACGCCTCCTTCCCACCATGCTGTCCTATTTCTTCCTCTGCTTTTGAGTCACAAACTGTTTTCCAGGTATTCCAGGTATATATCTTGCAACAGACTCAGTTTTGTCATGTTAATCTAAGCTTTTATGCAAAATGTCTGGGCTCTATTTGTAAACAGATCATTTTCACACCACAAAGATTCTTAACTGTTTTGTGAATAAGTGATTAGACTTACAAGTCATTCTAAGCATCTCAAAAGGGTGGTAAGATCATCCAGAAAAATATCACCTTAACTGCTTTCCGGAAATATGTTCATAAACTGATCCATAGCAAAAGCATTGTTTTGATGTGACATAGGAAAAAAATCACCTAAAATAGCTACTACACACTACAGACTTTACCACTGACAGTACAGAACATGCAATTTCGGAAGCAACACAATTCACTGAGTTTATAAATTGAGGGGGAGAAAGAAAAAGAAAAAAGAATATCGAGAAGTTTCACTTCTACTGCTGAAAGTATTTTGTAGTCACTGTCAAAATTTACATAAATTTGTACTTTTTTATAATTCAGTAGTAATTTTAAACATATTATCATGTAATAAATGTGGTAAATATTGAAGTTGTTTACAATAGTCAATCACATCTGTCCTACTGCTTAGACTGGTGTGATGTTTCCTTCATAGAATATCAAGGAAAATTCCCCAAACAAACCAGTTATATTTAGGAAAAACCACTTTACTATTCAGTATCTATCACTGTATCAGATACCTCTATTAGTACAGAAACTGTGAAAAGAAGCAACCAAAGTCTACCCCCAACTAGAATCAGAACTTGTACTTTCTGTATTCTTCTTACACTGTTACCTGTTTACATAAAAGTTAATATCAATTACTTTTTGGTATATGTATATACTATTATATATATATACACATATATTTTTATGTGTCTATGTATATATAGATCTGGTATACAGAGCTCAGTATTGGGGCCGGTCTTGTTCAATATCTTTATCAATGATCTGGGTTATGTGATTTAGTGCGCCCTCAGTAAGTTTGCAGACGACACCAAGTTGGGCGGGAGTGTTGATCTGCTCGAGGGTAGGAAGGCTCTGCAGAGGGACCTGGACAGGCTGGATCGATGGGCCCAGGCCAACTGTATGAGGTTCAACAAGGCCAAGTGCCGGGTCCTGCACTTGGGTCACAACAACCCCATGCAACGCTACAGGCTTGGGGAAGAGTGGCTGGAAAGCTGCCCAGCAGAAAAGGACCTGGGGGTGTTGGTCGACAGCCGGCTGAACATGGGCCAGCAGTGTGCCCAGGTGACCAAGAAGGCCAATGGCATCCTGGCCTGTATCAGAAATAGTGTGGCCAGCAGGAGTAGGGAAGTGATCGTGCCCCTGTACTCAGCACTGGTGAGGCCGCACCTCGAATACTGTGTTCAGTTTTGGGCCCCTCACTACAAGAAGGACGTCGAGGTGCTGGAGCGTGTCCAGAGAGGGGCAACGAGGCTGGTGAGGGGTCTGGAGAACAAGTCTTATGAGGAGGGGCTGAGGGAACTGGGGTTGTTTAGCCTGGAGAAAAGGAGGGTGAGGGGAGACCTCATCGCTCTCTAGAACTACCTGAAAGGAGGTTGTAGCGAGGTGGGTGTCGGTCTTTTCTCCGAAGTAACAAGTGATAGGACGAGAGGCAACAGCCTCAAGTTGCACGAGGGCAGATTTAGATCGGATATTAGGAAAAATTTCTTCACCGAAAGGGTTGTCACGCATTGGAACAGGCTGCCCAGGGAAGGGGTTGAGTCACCATCCCTGGAAGTACCTAAAAGATGTATAGATGTGGCGCTTAGGGACATGGTTTAGTGGTGGACTTGGCAGCGTTAGGTTTACGGTTGGACTCGATGATCTTAGAGGTCCTTTCCAACCTCAATGATTCTATGATTCTAAGTGCCGGGTCCTGCACTTTGGCCACAACAACCCCATGCAGCGCTACAGGCTTGGGGAAGAGTGGCTGGAAAGCTGCCCAGCAGAAAAGGACCTGGGGGTGTTGGTCGACAGCCGGCTGAACATGAGCCAGCAGTGTGCCCAGGTGACCAAGAAGGCCAATGGCATCCTGGCCTGTATCAGAAATAGCGTGGCCAGTAGGAGTAGGGAAGTGATCGTGCCCCTGTACTCGGCAGTGGTGAGGCCGCACCTCAAATACTGTGTTCAGTTTTGGGCCCCTCACTACAAGAAGGACGTCGAGGTGCTGGAGCGTGTCCAGAGAAGGGCAACGAGGCTGGTGAGGGGTCTGGAGAACAAGTCCTATGAGGAGGGGCTGAGGGAACTGGGGTTGTTTAGCCTGGAGAAAAGGAGGGTGAGGGGAGACCTCATCGCTCGCTACAACTACCTGAAAGGAGGTTGTAGCGAGGTGGGTGTCGGTCTTTTCTCCGAAGTAACAAGTGATAGGACGAGAGGCAACAGCCTCAAGTTGCACGAGGGCAGATTTAGATCGGATATTAGGAAAAATTTCTTCACCGAAAGGGTTGTCAAGCATTGGAACAGGCTGCCCAGGGAAGTGGTTGAGTCACCATCCCTGGAAGTACTTAAAAGATGTATAGATGTGGCGCTTAGGGACATGGTTTAGTGGTGGACTTGGCAGCGTTAGGTTTACGGTTGGACTCGATGATCTTAGAGGTCTTTTCCAACCTAAATGATTCTATGATTCTATGTTGTGTACTGTTAAATGACCACTCTCCATTTAAGCTAAGCATAATCAATACAGTCAACTCTTATTCTGGGATTTCACGGTCTGAATCTCTGCCCATGCACATGTTTCACAAGAAATTTACATTTGTTATGTAAACTAATTCTGCATTAGCGTAATTCCAGTGTCCATGCCTGCAAATCCCCAACTTTTTCAGGTGGAACCAGACCCTAAACTACCCTGTCCTCCCTTTCCTACAGCACCACAGTGGAGCCCTGGGAGATTGATTTATATCAGTGAAAATGTTCAGACTGTTTCTTCTTGTTGATATCTTCTGTATACTATATACTGGTAAGAAGTATTGCTTGACTTGTCTCCAATAAGACCTTATGACCAACATATATGTTTATTCTACAACAGCATACAGTACTGAGAAGCAAACTGGCCTTTCTTCAGCAGAAGCAGTTATAAGCTTACTGAAAGCTTACACAAGACAAGCGATATACGCCAGGTGTACTGAAAGTCAAGCAGGCCAGCTGAAATTCATCTCAATCAGCATTGCCAATTAGAATGTGCCAGCTCCTACTAATTAGCTGAGGTTGTAACTTTTCCTTATTTTAAAACACCCAAAAAGAATATAGTACTTCAGACAGTGGAGTAGCAACTGACGATTACTTTAAGTTAAATGCATATAGCATCAAAAAGTAATCATAATATCCTTCCCTCTCACACCTATTTTCACAAATCGATATCTTGAGAGAGAGGATGTTAGCAACATGCCTTGGGCAGGGAGGTGTAGAAGCCACAGTTGTTTACATGCCAGTGCAGCACTGTTTCTAGACTTGCATCAGCTGTTGTATTTCAGATCACAAGTTTGGGGGGTTTTTTTACTTTTTTTTTTTTAAAGTGCTATAACATGCCTGAAGGTGAAGACAGCAAAAGTAGCTTCAAACTGGCCCTGTATGAAAGCTGCTCCTTGTTAACTCACATTAATGGCTGATTAGAAGATCAAGCTACATATCACTTCTTCATGTTAAATTTATCATGTAGCACAGTGCTTCACAGCAGGGAGGCGTGAAGTAAAACAACATTACAGTATCAGTCCCAGTACTCCTATAGACCTCCTACTCCTTTCAGAAATCAAATTACATTCGGTAAGAGTGTTTCATGGCAAGGAGTGAATGACAGCAATATACTTGGCTTAAAAGTTCAGAACAGGCTGACCAGGCAATATAGAGAATCACAAGATTGTTCTGTATCAAGCACATAGAAGGATTCAAAAGCTAGTTTTGTTTTAGCAGGACCTTCAGCAGCAACATCAGCATGAAATATGCTGCCACTAGTAGGTTTTTAAATAGCATGAAAAAGCAAAAGAGAGGGATGACCTTGACTATCTTTTCAACAGTTTAACATTACAACTCTTGTTTCCTCTCACACAGAAGGGCCAGTCTGCAGTACTGTACTGGTCTTGCCTGGAACAGAACGCAGCATTATGAACTCATCCTTAGCCAAGCCCTGCTTACATGCATTTCCAATCTCTGGATATTTAAAACCTGAGACAGCAAATGATTAAGAAAGTGCAAGGCAACTATAACACCTTTGTGGTATGCAGCTTAGTCCCAGTTGCTGCAAGAACACTTGTGCAAAATTACCTCAGAATAAAACAAATGATCACACATACAAACATAAAGCCGTTTTTTATCTTTATCCCCTAATAAATAAGGTACCAGACTTCAGGTCACCTTCTACTTACCACAGAGAAGGAAAAAGAGTTAAAGAAAAAAAATACACAAGGCAAGGGAGAAGCTTTTTTTGTATTATAGGGCAGTCTACAGGACGTACTATAACATTAAAGGTCAAATATGCCATAATGGTAAAGAAAAACTGCTTTAAGGCAGTTTATAAAAACTAGTTTGTGGTAGGACTCAGATTAGTCTGACAATAGTAAACCATTCATGAACTCCAGGTTTGACCACTACAGTTTTACTCTGCTACAAAATCAATTCCCAAGGGACAAAGCTACATCACCAAGAATGCAGCACCCTACCTATTCACTATGACAGGTCAGAGAAGGGCCCTGCGTCGAGTTTACAGACTCCCTTACTATTGAGACTAAATACCTACACATCTCTCTTTAGACAGCAAATTCATATGATCTTAGCCCATTAGAGGGGCAAAAAAAAGAGAAGGCAGACACCCTTGAGACAAAACTTTCAAAGATAGTTGTACAAAGACTGGTATTCAAAAAGACATCAAAACAAATGTCCATCTGTCACCTTTGCTGCACTCACAACTAACACCTCTTCAAGGCCTTTGTAGAAAAAAAATACTGAAGATGCACCCTTGATTTTAAACTACTAAGCTTGATACTTTAGAATAGCTGAAAGGCTCTGTATATGTATAAATACTGCTTAGTTGGAAAGAAAAGGAGATAGTCAAAGCAAATACCACACAACAAGCATATACTAGCATTTACATTTAAAGAACAGACACACATAATAATAGAAGTCAGAAGGCTTTCAGAAAGCAGTGTTTTCTACCCTTTAAACAGCTATGCTAGCTCCTAGCCATTCCTCTAAATGGAGTTCTCTTTGTAGAATTACATTATGAGATTAAAAAATTTAAACTGTCACAAAAAGCGTAAGTAATGTCAACTAAACTGACAGTCTTGTTTTGTACTAAAGAACTCACTGAAGCCTGCCCAGTGCCAGAAATATTAAAAAGCAATATTCCAAAACTGCTTTTTTTATTTTATTAGGCAATTTTTAAAGCTTTGAATGGAGCCAATCTTCAGGGTTCCATTCACTGTATAAGATCCTTCTCAAGCAATTACTTAAAAATAACCTCTGTTTTTCTTAATGCTAAAAGGAGACACCAAACAGCAATGGCACACTTACCATACCCGTGTTTTCAGCTTCTTCCCTCAAATCTTATGTGTCTCACATCATCAGTATGTTAAACAGAAAGCAACTTTAAGCTATTTGGCAAATACTTAAGACAAATATCCACATAAAGCAAGCTTTATGGGAAGGCAATTCTACTCAGCATAAACTAAGCAGCAATAGATCCAGAAGAAGTTTCTGCATAAGCACTAATGGGCACTGTCAAGGGCACTAATTAGAGCTTGTAATTCTCACCACAGACACCTCAACAGACTACTTAATGAAGTTTCAAATTACTGGTACCATCATTTACACTACCTTCCACCCTCTTGTTTAATGCTGTCAAATTGCATTAAACTGGTACTATAAACTAGCAGCACGTAAGAAACAAATAAATCAGAATTCCTAAAACATCTAGAAAGGGAAAGCAGTATTTTCCATGTTTCCTAATATTAAATGAAAGTAGTTTATTATTTGAGAGGCTTCATGCTTTCTAACAGTCACCAGATCACTGTTAACACTGCTTGGGAGTCTCATTCTAAGGGCCTCCCTGTGGTGCAACTTTAGTTTCCTCAACAGGATGCACAGTAAAGCCATTATAAGCAGACACAATAAGACCAGACATTCCTCTCAAAATATTCTGAGTCTTACTCACAATGATCACTACATTCAAGAAAACTGAAACAAAGATATACACAATAGACAAATTAGATACTTCTGATATCACTATAGCCTAAATTTTTGAAGAGTTACTCATAAGTTAGACAAACAATTGTATGGAGATAATTTTCTCTGATAATTTAGTTGCAATGTTTTCACTGAACAAGATCTTTACTGAATAAGCATTTACAGAATATTTACAGAATAAGAGATGAGGCTAAAAATCGCTGGTTAAAACTTAGACATTTACTACGCAGCAAACCACCAATATATTACCTCAGACCGCACTTAAATGACTTCCTACATCAGCTGAACGAACCAATGGCATGTTCCTAGTTTCACTCCTCTTTTGTTCCTACTTTTAGTTGTTTTACTAATACCAAATTTTAGATCTCTATACGCTCACCATTAGCACAACACCTTCTGAATGGTGTGGACAAAAACCAAGTATTTTTCTCCTAACAACTAACATTCCAGATCTCTGGAAATTTCTTTTTTTAATCACTACATCCTGGACCATATTTGGCAATGAACACTGTACTGCTCATTAAGTACTGTCTTTTGATATTTAGAGTATTTGGCTCAACTTATTTCATTCAAATCAACATCGGGGAGGGATGGTGGTGGTAGGTTCTCAGTCCATTTTCCTGTATCCCAAGTTTACAGAGATTTTCCAAAATGCTTTGGACTAATAATTCTGGCTCTTCATAGCACAAAGAAAGTTTACATCAAAGTGCAAGCACATTGGACTTTCCACTTAATACAAAGTATAATAAATGTTTAAAAACAGCTTGACAGCAGCCTTTAGGGCTTACTAAATTAAAAACATGCTTATCTGGAATTATGCGCTTGCAACAGTCACCTTTGTAAATTACAACCTCATACTGATGAGTGTGTAAGCTAGCTTACTTTACTTACAATACACCCAGCACGTCAAGAGGAAATTAACACTAGCTGGACTGAATGAGTTTTTAGTCAGGTTTACGTACGCCTATAAATAACAGCACCAAAACGGATTCATGAAGATGCTTTAAAAGAGGTCATCCATTTACTACTGTAAACGACTTGGTGGAAAAATCGTTGAATTATGTCTATTTCAATAACCACCATCATTTTTAGCTACTCTTCTTTACCTACCTTCAGATGTTTTCCAGCGTTTCCACAGATCCTCAATGGTGATATGTTTGTCTTCTCTGTGCAGGTGACTATGTTTATTAGAGGCATCCTTGTATTGCATATCTTCCCTCAGAAACTGAAGAAAAGGAAAAACACCATCTTAAATGCCAAAATAACAATTTCTAAACAGAAACTACAAGGAAATCAGGCAGAGGAGAATCTTTGCTATCCCTTCCCCATGCAAGCAGCACACAATTCATGTAAGCTGACTACATCAAACAGTCAGAAAACAAGTTAAACACTCTTACAGGATTTGATTTTCACAATGATTAAATCCTAGGAAAACTGAAGGTGCAGTTGGTAGTATAGTAGATTTAACAACATTATTAGTATGCCTTAGATTTACAGGGATTACAAGAATGCACCACACAAGTCACAGGGCGTACTTCTCTATTCTGAACGCATTTAACCAACTTCACCTACCTGAAGATAAGACCATGCAAGATTTGAAAATGTGCCAGTCCTTTATGGATGAGTAATACCTGAATCCTGCTATACCAGTTAAATGCAACTGCTTGAGGGATGAGAGAAAGGTTTTGACTAAGTATTACTAAAGTCTTTTAATTGGACAACAAAAATTTGACTTCTATTTCATGAAATTAAACAGAAGGCATCTTAGGGCCAATTTTCCTCTTGCTAATCATTCCGCAGTGGTTACACTCCAAGCACAGAAGCATTACACAAAGCTGTTTCATTCTCAGTAATTAATAGGAAGCCTATGTCAAAATACCACGCTTTGCCTTTTAGTAAACATGATAAAAAGGAAGGTCCTGCAATCATGTCACACATAGCAATGTTGTACCAGTATTTCACAAGTCACTACAAAGGGGTTCTCCACATACGTACAAGAAAAAAAAAAAGCATGGAACTGTAAAACCCATTTTATTTTTATTTCACACAGGCCTAGAAAAGTTGGAACACTAGTTAGCAAACTACCTTCCATTAATAGTGGAGACCTTTCATAGATATCAGTCCCTAAAAGCACAGCATGAGCAGTCTCTGTGGGTGGACACCTTAGTGTTACCAGAAAACTAACATGAGAGCTAAGTAATCCTCCACAGCAGATTGCTTGCTTTCTTCAGTTCCTGAAGGATAAAGCTGCTCAAACAAAAACAGCTATAGATAGTCATGACAGCTAACTCAAAAACCAGCTTTTTATGTGGCTGGTCATATATCATCACCACTTCAAGCAGAAGTGAGGAAGAAGGCCAAGCTAACGATGCACTGCAGAAGACCCCACTTCTTAAAATTTAGTCCTGGTAATAATTTATCTGCAGAGCTTCCTGCATAGGCCCCATTTCTAACAAATCTAGAGATTATGTCATTCAAGAAACTGCAGGAAAGACTGAAAAGTAGTCAGTGTTAAACCATAATATTAACTCTTAGTAACAAGAGACAGTGTATGATAGCAGAAATATACAAGAAAAAGATAACACTTATCAATTACCCCTTATTAAAAAATTCCTAGTAAGAATGAAGTAAGGGAATCTAAAAACCATGGGAAGGGATTCAAGTTTCTCCTCTAACTGCTAAAATGGGGATAAAGTACTAGTTGCCTTCCCTAATCCAATCATAAAGCCGTACATGTCTTTTGGTTCCAAATACAGATTGGATGCAAACCTTCTCTCATTCACCTACCACTTCAAAACTTTTTTGATTGTCAGACATTAGCTTTCTAAAGCCTTTTGATTCCTAAAATAGTTCCATTTAGCCCATACAAATTGCACAAGCATTTTTAACTCTTCTTCCTTATGTATATGAGAAAGGCATAAATACAGATACATATACACACCACATATATACATGAGAAATATAGGAGAAATTTATGAAATATATGAGAACAATTGAAAATAGCAGCCTGTTGGGGCAGAGTTAATTACAGAACTTCTGAAACACCATGGACCAGCAACTGTAAAAAGGTACAATAAGCACAGAAAAGGACTGATTGCTGTAACTATATGTTAATGTACTAAATGTAGCAAATGTAAAAATATCTGCTGCATAACCTCTGCTGCATATGTCATAGTCCAAGCGTGAACTCTGAGTACTTCCCAAATTGGCACAACTACCATGAAGCTGGTAATTTCCACAGCTAACATGCAATGTGCAATCAAAGGCGGATTATCTTATTTGTTCCCACTCCACATTTATTAAAGGGTAAACTGAAGAAAAGGAACCAAACAATAAGAAAACAAAAAAATCTTCTTATTCACTAATGTCTCTAAGCCATTCCAGATTAAAGTACAGTCTCACAGTTGGAGCAGCAGGAAAGAACTGATGTTTGCCCACCTCGCCTTTTCCCTTCAGACTACAAGTACCTTCTACCAACTACCATCCCCAACGTGTCTTTTGGGAACTTGTGAAAAATGTACTAAAGAGACAGAAAAATTTATTATAGGTCCCACCCTGTAAAGACTATCTCCCTTCATATGGGGGTTAAGATACATGTTACACTCACTGTTCAGCTTTCTAGTGACTGGTGATGCACTGCCCTTGCGAGACTCCAAATGTCAGGCGTGGACATTTGTTTTTTTAAAACAAATGTCGTAAGCCAATCAAGTTTCTGAAGCGGAACAGAATGGAATATATGCTGCATGTAAAGGTTTCAGCACACTTTGCATCTCCTTAGCTAAAACTCATACCTCAGACCAGTTTTGTTCACAAGAAATAAACTTGCTTCTATCTTTACTGCTAGTTGTCAGCAAAGGTTGTAAAATACTTTAGGACGAGAACGTTTGAACAGTTACAGGTGCTGTCAAGGAAAATCTGAATTGCTGTTAACAATACTACATACAGGGTTAAGAATAAAGAAGAGAAGGAAGATGCCAAATGGTAAACAGAAAAGCTTCAATGGGTTACATCTCACCCCAAAGCACTATAAGCTACTGTAAGAAAAAGTGTTCTGATTTTAAAAATGGGATGGACATAGGTTACCTTGGCACCCAGATAAGCAATGCAAGCAACAGTTTATGGAAAACTTGCAGCATTTCATGTCGTTCTGCTATGGAGCCCGCAGAGGGAGCAAGAGTTAACATATGAATTCACGTTCTCAACACACTGCTGGAGCACAGCCGGCTACGCTAACAAGTTGAGGGGGGGAAAAAATGAAAAGCCTGATTTCAAATTTCATCACAAATACAGAAAACAAATCCAAGTTCGAAGCACAACGTTTCCCAGGAGAAAAGGACAACAGTGGAAAAGATCTGGTTTATACTGAGAGACTGTTTAGCATATTTGACTAAGTCCCTTTTTTAAAAAGGGACTGTCAACACACAAACTTGTAAGCCGTTTGCATTTAGTAATCAGTACGCAGTTACTGCTCAGAGGGAGAGATTATGCATTTATGAGAATTTCTTCAAGAAAAGAAAAGAGCCCCTCTTCCGCTCAGTCCTACCCATGTTGCTCCCAGATCCTGTGAGAATAACCACGACTGCTTCCTCAACGAGGTTCTCTAGCACCGGGTGGTCACAACGGTAAAGTTACAGTGTGCATAGCTAGAAAGAGGCCATCACATTTCAAAGAATGAATGCATTTACTAATGAAGAGATATGTGACATCAAATATCTTTCTTTTAAACAAAAGATCTTTGTTTCAAAACTGGCCTAATATGGAAGTTCTCCTTTAAGAAAAGGAACTGTGTCCTAAATTCAAGCAAGCCATAAAACCAGAACAACTCTGGTACAAAGAGAGGATTTTTCTGTTCCTTGTCATGGCAGCTAATCTCTCTTCTGTTGTCCTGGTCATTAAGTATACAAAGAAAAGGTTAGAAAAATAACTCTAAATAGGGAGGTTAAAAGAGTAAGATCTAACAAAAAACATCTAAGGAATATCTTAGCCAACATAATTACTCAAGAGGGAGAAGGCCTTTTAAGACTACAAAGTTGAAACCAAGAAAGCAGCAGATAAGTTACCTAAAACCTGTGTGAAACAAAAAAATCATTTGTCAAAGTAGTTACTTCAAAAACAAGTAGAGAATAAAAAACAGGGAGGTTAAAAGAGTAAGATCTAACAAAAAACATCTAAGGAATATCTTAGCCAACATAATTACTCAAGAGGGAGAAGGCCTTTTAAGACTACAAAGTTGAAACCAAGAAAGCAGCAGATAAGTTACCTAAAACCTGTGTGAAACAAAAAAATCATTTGTCAAAGTAGTTACTTCAAAAACAAGTAGAGAGTAAAAAAACACCACACCTAGACTCAAAACTGGAGGTTTGATTCCAAAAGTACTATAACAACTGTGCCTCTACAAAGACTCACATCCCAAAGTCCAAGGTTCAGCAGTGTAATAGGTGGAGAGGAAACTCTCTCCTCCCTGGAGGGGACGGGACTTGTGGAGCCCTGGAAAAGAGTTACAAGGTCAGGTATGCCACAACCTTCCTCCCTCTTCAGAAAGCCTTTAGTACTGTAACATTCACCAAAAGCCAGTCAACTCATAACCAAAAACTAACCTGAAGTAAGAAACAAACAAAAAAAACCCCAACAACAACAAAAAATTCTGACCCTTCCAAAAGAGGAAAAAAGACATGCCAAAATCCAATACCAGTTTGACATGGAGGGAGCACTTACAAACTAAAGCCACATGCAACAATACAAAAAGTTAAAACATGCTAAGTTGCAAAAGATGCTTGCTCTTTGAGGAGCAAATGAACAATTGCATACTTTTGCAAACACCAGTGAAAAAGTAAAATTAACCACACTCACTAACTGCAGAAGGAAGTACTCATATGCTATGTTTATATTTCGTTCTGGGTGAAGGCTCAAGTTTATGATTTTCAGTTTCACCAACTTAAAATAGACTCTCTAACTGACAAGTTTACTTTAAGAGCAATTAGTAACATCTCCTGGCTAAGTATTACTGTATTTCTTGAGCATCTGTTCCTTAAACAGTGTTATTTCCTTCAGTTTTATTCCTTCAAAAGAAAACCCGCAAAAGTTACAACTTCAGTTTTCCTATAATCCTACCTTCAGATACAGCCGGTCACTGTTAGACAGCCTTTTAGTACATTCCCTCCCACCTACTGCTACCAGACTCGTTGCAGCTATTACAATGTCCCACTTATTGACCAAGTTAGGATG